CCCGCCGCCGCCCCGGGTTACGGCCAGAGCTGCTGCCTCATCGCGGACGGCGAGCGCTGTGTCCGGCCGGCGGGCAACGCCTCCTTCAGCAAGAGGGTGCAGAAGAGCATCTCGCAGAAGAAACTCAAGCTGGACATCGACAAGAGCGTGAGTCCCGGCCCGACCCCCGCCCTGAGCCCCGCGTGGTCGGTAGCCCCGGGAGCCCGGACCCCCTCAGCCTCGGGACCCTGGAGGCCGCTGGGAGCTGCGCGCTGCCGCCTGGTCCTCGAGGGTGGGCAGAAGCGCTGCCGGCTGGGCGCGTTCCCGCCGCCTGCTGAGCTGACGGCGGTCCCCCGCTGGGTCCGTCGGAGGGACCTGGGTTAGTGCTGCAAGCCTGGGGGAGGGGGTGGCGAGGTGACTCTTCTCCGACTTCGTCTCCCTCCGGGCACCTGGCTGCTCTTTCCGGGGTGGCAGGGGGTCCGCGACGTCCCCCTCACCCGCTTCCCAGGCTGTGGTGGGAATGAGTTTTTCTGAGATGGAGAGGAAGGCCACGGGTGTTAGGAGACGACTCTTGTAGAGGATGTGACTGGGGGGGTTCAGTTTTCTTAAGGGATAACATCTTTGGGGATGCGGAGGTGGGGATTTAAAAGCGCATGGGATTGCCCTGTGACTGGTGATGGGAAACTGCCTGTGTGGTTTCACTGCCTCCAGTTAACAGTTCTAAAGATGCGCCTGTTAACCCATTTAGAACTTTCCAGTTTGACATCTGTTGCTGCAAGCCCTAGGTGGCTTCCAGGTTAGGAACTGGGACTGAGTTAAGGGGTTTTCAACATTCAGGGAGGTTAAGATCTCGGATGATGGAGTCAACAGTTGGAGGAGATCAGACATCCGGGTCAGCCGAAAGAGGAGCCCACCTTTCCAGAAAGTTCCGATGTTGAGACCAAAATCTGAGGCTGGGAGTAGGAAGCAGTAGTGCCAAGTGTGTGAGCCTTGCACTTGAGGCTAATGCCCTAAACCTATTACCTGACCTGCTTCCAAGCCCAATGTGGAAGCCTTGTCTTTAATAAATAGGCCTCCGTTTTTCCGGTGGGATCTCCCCGACCCCACGCAGTTCTGTTTAGTGAGCCAGTCCAGTTTGCAGCTTATATGGAATAGCGCTGTTTTTAAATGATTGGAGCTTTCTCATAACACGTATGAATGAATGAATGAATGAATGAAAGAAATTCCTCCGGAGCACAAACTGGCTAAACACTAAGGTGGCCCCTGATAATCACATTTTGGAGCCAAAAAAAGCAGTGAATTTTATCTGCTTGGAAGCACTGCTTGCCTCCTGTGTGGGCTGCTGTCAGCATTTTCCAAACACCTCCTCTGAACCCATGAGCGCCTTCAAGTCACAGTGGCTCTACTGTCAACAGGGACTCTGTTCACCCACCTGGAGCTGCATGGAACACCTCACACCATCTTGTGGAATGAGCCCCTGGCCCAGGAACAGACCACGCAGCCTGTTTCAAGGTGGCGGTGTGCCGTCCTGGATTCTGAGAGGGAGTCTATCCTTCTCTCCCTGGGGCAGGAACTCAGTTCCCTGTATCTGCTGCGTTACCAGAATGTCGCTGCTGTGGCAAGTGAATCGAGAAAAAGAAATGTTAAAAAATCTGCAGGTCGTCCCTACCGCCCTCCTGGCCCCACCTACCTGCAAAAGCCTCTGAGCTCTGAATGCTGAAGATCAGCTCGGACTTGAAAATGGTTATGGAGAAGCAGTGACTGTCTTGTAAAAGGGTCTAGTGAAGACCTTTTTCAGTTATGGCACCAAACTGCCTCAGGTAGACACTGGCAGTGTCTGTAGTTCACTAAGATACAACAAACTGCTCTGCAGTTGACATATTTCTGCTTTTCTCCTAGGGAAAAGCAAGGTTGAGAAGAGTAGAAAAGAGAGCACTGAGGAGGGAGAGAACACTGACCAGGTCAAGGCCTGGCAGGGTGCTCAGCCGGCGTCTCCCCACATTCTGACTTCACTTTACCCCTCTAGTAAATGAGATGGGCCCAGTGGGGTCGGGCTAGTATTTGCTAAGACCTCTTGCTAGGATTCCCTTATCTACTGTCTAGACCTGACATCTCCCTGCTACAGCTTTGGGAAGCACCCAGTTCCATGCTTCTCCGGTTTATCACTGCGCAGAAAGAGCAGTGTGGAGAGTACGGGGGTGGGGGCAGCATGGAAAGAAGCCCTGTCTCGCATTCCTTGGGACAATTCCTATGAAAATTCATTGCCAGGGTGGGACCTGGCAAAGCCACCCCAATTTGTAACCATGAAAGAAGTGGCTTTTACTGCTTTCAGATGTAAGAGACAACCTATATTGATGCATCAGCATTTATTGAGCACCTGCTGAGACCAAGACACCATCACAGTATAATCTTAAAGCCACTCTTAACTCTCGATCCAACCACAAGAAAGTGATAATGCATTCGAATAAAGTTTTCATTATTTTCTCCATAAAAAGGCCTAAATTAGGTGATGGTGACTTCCTGTCAGCTTGACTTTTATCTTCAGGGATTTGAAGACTAACCTGTAGTTCAGCTGTCTCCACAGAACATTTGTGCACCATCTGTCCTGCCCTGAACCACTCAGACAAGCCTGTGAGGTCTGTGAAGGGTTCTTCTAGGAGACTGCAGCACTTACGTTCTTAAATAAAAACATGTTCTCGTTTTAGCTGCTGTTGGCACCTTTACTAATACGCCTTCAGTCCCTATTAGAAAATCAGAGGTAATATCCAGTTTCTTGCATCCCTTTGCGGCTCAGATGTGAGGTGGTGCAGGATTGCACTCAGGAGTCAAGTTTGAGTCACTCTGCGCAGTGGTCACTGTGGTCAGAGCCGTTGCCGCAGCCCCTGCTGTCCCCTCCGTTCATTCTACTCGCACAACTCCTCCAGGTCTGAAAACATCACTCCCTGCTTCCAAGCCCCCACTACCCTTGTGCTCACACCCCTGACCCCTGAGTGTCTCCTCAAACTCCCCCATGTGCATCTCTGCCACATAGACACTGCACGGCAGGGGCTTCTCAGGGAGACGGCTGGTACGTGGCTCACCCAACCATGTGGGATGCTTTCTGTCAGCCATAAACCTGCCCTCCTGACTGCAGCCATCTTCCTGTGCTGTAAAGATTAGTTGCTAATGCACTGTGGTGTTAGTGGTGTGCGTGTGTGTGTGTGTGTGGTAGTGGGGATCAAACTCAGGCCTCAAGCATGTTAGGCACCCCTACTAAGATATACCCCCAGCTGTCCGTGCGTGTCTTCTGCGGCCCAGCAGCAAGGTGGAAGCTGGAGCTGCCTCTCCTCTCTCCAGTGCCTGGCCCAAAGGGGAGGCGCATGGTTTCGCAGGAACCTGTTGTTTCCGTGGGGTTGGCAACCCTGACTTTACATTTCTCCTTGTCAGGTAAGGCACCTGTACATATGTGACTTCCACAAAAATTTCATCCAGAGCGTCCGAAATAAACGGAAGAGGAAGACAAGTGATGATGGTGGAGATTCCCCCGAGCATGATGCCGACATTCCTGAGGTAAAGGCCGGAGTGTCAGGGAGAGCCAGGGGAGAGAGAACAGTAGGTTCTGGTCCTGGCGTCTCTGGCCTACTGCGCTCGTGTTAACTAGTCATCTTAGTTCCCTTGTTCTGCTGTAGTTTATTTGAACAGCGTTTTCTAGACTTCCCATAATATTGAGTCTAAAAGTTGGAGCTGAGCTGGTCTGGCTACCCTGTCACTGTCCAGACAGGCCCCTGAGGTCCCAGGTGGAGTTGGAGGCTGTGCTGGTTCCTTTTGAAGTAGATGAGAGGAGCTTGCCTCACAAACCCTGACCAGACTTAACATGATGTTGCCGCTTTTAAAACTGTACTGGCCTTTAAAGTGCGACGCTGAGTGTGTGATTCCAGGCCTTTCTCTTCCCCTCTTCTCATCTGAAAGTTGGCATGCTCTATCCCGTGACAGCTGGCTGGGGCTTGTCTCCATGATGCACTCCAGTCACTTAGCCTGTGCTCAACCCCGGCATGATTGACATCTTGAGTATTGTAAGATAGTTGACAACACCCTGGCCTCTAGAGGCCGGCAGCACCATTGCCTGGGTTGTGACAATCAGCACATCTACAGACATCGCCACATGTCCTTTGGCACATGCACAGACCGTGAGGCCCAGTTTCTCCCTCCCCAAGAAGGTGCCAGTGCCCGAGTGCGGCCCACGAGGCTCCAGGAAGGGGCAGTGGCTGCTTCCCACGTTGTTTTTACTTGAGATTCAGCAGACGAGGCGCCGTTTCTAATGTCCACTGGAAGTTTGGCACATGACTATTTTACATAGACAGCCTCCGGTTACACTCTAATGAGTGGGACTAGAGGAGTGGGTGGCCCGCGTCTGCGGAGGAAGCCTTTGAAGCTGTCCCTGTCCTCTGCCCTCCCTGTGTCCATTCCCCAGCACGGCTTTCCACTCTCTCTCCGTTCTTTTAGCATCGTTTTACTTCATAAAGTCAAATTCAGTTCCCAAATGCCTTTGGCCAAACATTTTAGATAAGGTTTTGAGGAATTTTTTTTTTTTTTTTTTTGAGACTATGACCACTGTGTAGGCCTTGAACTTGTATTCACAGGACTTCACCTGCCTCCTGAGGGCTGGGACTAAAGGCGTGTTTAAGTACTCTTCCCCCTCCCTAAAGCAAAAGCCTCTCTAGAGGCACGTAGAGGCAGCCCACATTTCTGGATGACTGTGCAGCTCTCTCCCCCTCCTTGGTAACTGAAGAGATGGGGTCCCATCTTGACCCTTCCCCAGCCATCTGCAGAGATCCTGGCTTACGATGGACTGATCTGTTCATGGTGGTGCTTTCCTGAGGTGAAAGGGGAGTCTGCAGGGGAGTCTGGACAGGAGCTGCTGGAGAGTCTGGACAGGAGTTGCTGGAGAGTCTGGTCAGGAGGTGCTGGAGAGTCTGGTCAGGAGGTGCTGGAGAGTCTGGACAGGAGGTGCTGGAGAGTCTGGACAGGAGCTGCAGGGGAGTCTGGACAGGAGGTGCTGGAGAGTCTGGTCAGGAGCTGCAGGGGAGTCTGGTCAGGA